AAAACCCAATTCTGAAAAATATGTCTTTTTTGTTTTGCCTTGGTGGGGATGGATGAAAATGGCGAGGAGAAGCTGATAGCAGTGGCCAAGCACATAGCGAAGACTCTGGGTCACACTGATACCATGAATGATGATATTCTTCAGATTTACTCCAACTTCGATGGCCGGTTGAGGGAGAAGCTCACCGAGGACAACTCTCGCGGTTGCACTGCACCGGAGCGGACCCTCGGGTCTTTGGATTTTCAGATCTCCCCGTACGTGTCGGTGGAGCATCCCGTTTGGTCCGACTCTGCAGATTCTGTCGCGTTTGTAGAAGCTGTGGCCAGATCTCCCGCTCAACCGTTGACAATGAAGACTTGCAAGGAGATGGAGTCACACTGCAAAGCTAAAAAAAATAGATAATGGATGGAGATGGAAGAGTTGGCCGGGATTAGAGAATTAGGGTTGGAAAGAAGCCAAGGGAGAGTGTCGGTGAAAAAGTTAGGCATAAAGCTTAAAAAACTTTCGTTGAAATCTGAGATGCCGCCTAGTAAGTAGTACGAATTATAGCGAGTTCAAATACTCCGTAAAAAATTGTCTTCAGAGTATCACTGATATACTCATGTGAAAATATAGCGACACTTCTATGTTAGTAAAGCCATTTTTTCACAAAGTGTCACTATTATAGTGTCACTATAAGACACTTTTCTAGTAGTGTGAGTTTGGATTATTTTGTGGAGTTTGGATTTCATATTCGTTTTGGTTGAGGTTGTGATGTTGGTTTGGAACTTTGAGAATGAATTGTGATTTTTGGTGAGCACCCAGAGAAATCTGTGGTGTCGGTTTGCCACATCCGGATAAATGTGGTATTGGTGAGTGGTAATGGCTATAAGTCTAAATCCACCAGGGGTACTTCCCAAAAGCGGAGTATCCCAGCTTAATTGTAGTGTAGTTGGTAGAAAAATCCCGACTACTCGGGCTTCTTACTTCCCGGAGGGATTGGAATCCCTTTTAGGGGGTGTGCACACTTAAGGTAGGAGTTCGGCTTCCACCATTCGAGGAGTCAAAGATGTACGGAAAGAATCAAGAACGCGACCTCCGGTGCTAAAAGCTGACTCTGAAGCAACAGTAGAAACCGGTATTGCTAGAACATCTCGAGCAATCATAGAAATAATGGGGTATCTATTTTGATTAGCACTCCACCACTTCAAAATTTCAAACGCGCTTTCATCTGGCTCACATTCATCACCTAAATACTTGTCCAACTCAGTCTTTCTATCAAGTGACGCTTTATTCATTCTATACTTCATTTTTAGACGTTGTTGAACATCTAATGTTTCACAACTTTCTGACTGTGTTGGACAAGTAAGTGGCTTAGGATTCCCTACCAACTTCTTTGTTTGTGGCTTGAAAGCACTGTAGGTATCAACTAAGACTCTAAATGTTTGCTGAATTTTTGAAAACAACATTTCAGATATTTTTTTGTCATAAAAGCAACCAACAACAAACTCAACATAGTCAAGCTTATATCTCGGGTCAAGAGCCAATGCGACAAACAACAAGATATTTACATTATTAATGTTTCCCCAATATTTTTGCAGTTTGGCCTGCATCTGAATAACCATTTTCTTAATACCTACATCTTCACTCTCGCCATAGGTCGATATGACATCCCCGATACCAAAAATTTGAGGTACATAAAAGTTCTCGGTTACATAGAGACTCCCTGAAAACTTTAAAGTTGCGTCATAAAAAAATTCCAGGAAAGGCAAGAAATGACCAACAATATCTCAATCTTGATCCCCAACTAAGCCATCATACTTCAAAAGTTCCTTAACGTAAGGACCTCCTTTGGACTGCAAATTAGCAAATGCTTTTCTAAACTTAATAGCACAAGCAAGCATAAAATAAGTAGAATTCCATCTGGTATCCACATCCAAACACACAAGACCTTTGGAATCTATCTTTTCCTCTTCTACACAACATACAAACTTCTGTAACCTAGCCGGAGATGACCGCACATACCTTACTGCAGCACGAATTTTAGCAATGGATGCATCAAGATCTTTCAGACCATCTTTGACGATTAAATTCAGAATATGTGCAGCACACCTCATATGAAGATATTGACCATCTAACACACTACCACCCCAATGGTTCAACCTTCCTCTCAAATATTTCACAGCTAAGTCATTTGAGCTCGCATTATCTACTGTAATAGTCATAACTTTCTTTATTTCCCACTCTATCAAACATTTTTCAACGGCTTTACCTATAAGCACACCCAATGACCAGCAATGGGGCAAAAGTTTAAAATCCTTTTATTTAACTTCCACGCATCGTCAATATAATGCACAATCAAGCACATATAACTCAAGTTTTGGCCAGAAGTCCAAGTGTCGGTCGTGAGACAGACTCTACATGACAAATTACTCAAACAACTCTTAAGTTTTCTCCTTTCCTCAATAAACAATGCATAACAATCCCTAGTAACAGTTCTGCGAGAAGGAACCACAAACTCGGGATTGAGAAGTTTACCGAAGTCACGAAATCCTTCACGCTCTACTATACTAAATGACAACTCATCAACAATGATCATTCGAGCAAGTCCTCTCCTAGCAGATTCATGACAAAAATGCCATAATTCAATATTATTACCAGGTCGAATGTTTCCATCATTAAGAGCAGTTGTGGATCGAAGAGCAGCAAGTCTTTTCTTTTTATCCTTAGTGGGAGGATACTCTGCGCATCTTTTTAGGTGATTTTTCATGCCACTTGTGCCATTTTTTACTAATGCACGATTTTTTTTTACAATGTTTGCAACTTTGATACCCATTATTATCTACTTGCTCAAACTCCTCCCAATAGATTGATTTTTTTCTTTTCTTAGATGGTCCAGAAACACTCACCGCAGAATTCGATGACTTAGCTTTTTCCTTGTGGGTATATGATTTGCTCTTAGTGGAGTTACTTTCTGTTCCAGTTGCATTCAAACTCATGTTTTGAGAATCAACTTCTATGGAATTCACTTCTTCCTGGATCAAGAACTCTTCACTGGTTTCCATCAGATTTATGTCTGATATCTATTAAAAGAAAAGACAAGTAAAGTTAAGCATATAACAAAAAAAAGGCATTTAATTTCTGAAATCCACATCTTTTTGTCTTAATTAACCGATGGTAGGTTTTTATTTTCATTTAGGGCCTTAATCACCTAGGCAGACTACAGTATAAGGTTATCGAGGAATGGGCATTAGCTCCCAATCTATGTTATCTATGTTTAAGCAATCACTCTACATAATTGCAATACTTTATGGAGGAGCCACTTTCCCGCCCAAGAAATTTCCGCTTTTCATTTTCGCATTTTAGCTATTCATTTACGCTATCTTTTATTTTATTTACGGCTTTCGTATTCCTGTCTTACAATACCTCACCGTCTTTCATCGCTCCCCCTCTCCCCTTCACAAAGCAAATGAGTCTCAGGTCATGGCTTCCTTTCACACAAACATATGGATCGATAACGATGTGTCAAATCTATGGCTTCTCATTTCTCTCCTTTCTGACAGAGCAAATCGATTCTCCATTCATGGAGCTATTACCGTCTTTGGGGATCGATAAAGATGAGGGCAAATCTACGGCTTCTCATTTCTCTTCCTTCTCACAGGGCAAATCGATTCTCCATTCTCCATTTGCAGATCCTGTTTTCTTCCCTATAAAGATTTTACCTCTGGCTCTGCCGTTTCATCTTTCCTGCTCACCGATTCATTCCATATCATGGATGAAAATAGATTTCAACGCAAAAGGCAAATACATAGTTCTTCCTTTTGATTAGGTGCGTGCTTTCATCATAAAATAAAAGGTGTTTGGTCTAATTCCCTCCAAATTGTTCCTTTGCTAAAGAGAGGGATGCGAAATTGCTGAAGCAGGGGGGCAAAATTGTTGTAGCAGGTGCTCTTCCTATTTTCTTTGATTTTTTTATATTATTAATTATTTTGATCAATTCTATTTTCTCAATAGTTCTTTCTTTTGATTAGGTGCGTGCTTTCATCATAAAATAGAAGGTGTTTGCTCTAATTCCCTCCAAATTGTTCCTTTGTTGAAGAGGGGATGCGAAATTGCTGAAGCGGGGGGCGAAACTGCTGTAGTAGGTGCTCTTCCTATTTTCTTTGATTTTTTTATATTATTAATTATTTTGATCAATTCAATTTTCTCAATTTCTTTATTCTATTATTTAATCATGATTGCTCTTACGTCTTAATTATTTAGTTTCTGTTCTCATCTTAAAATTAATTATTTACAACTGACTGCTAAAAACGACTCATACTAAGAGTCTAATAGGAGTCGTTTGCTAATTGCTATGCGATGAAACTGTAACACCGTCCCCAAAAAGTATTTACTTTTAAGTAAATAATGTATTGAACTTATGGAATGGTTAACGAGTATTCGAAGTTGTGAATTTTTATTAATGTTTTTGCGTGAATAGCAAATTCGCCCGTGGGGCCCGCACCGGGAACGGGGGCCGCCCGATATTCCCGAGACCGTATATTTTATTCATCTTGGTCAATATAACATTTATATAGTGGTGGATAATTTATTTGGTCCAAAGAAATAATATAGAGTTGACCGGTTGATCAAAAAGGCCAAAATACCGGTATCGGTAATTTAACAGATAACAGCCCGAAACGAATTTCGGAGGTTTATAAATTAAAGTTGGGGAATGTATATTCATTATAAAGGGTATAATGATTAAGAACACATAATATATTTTAATTGACCCGATAAAATAAAATATATTTAAAACAGTCCGAAAAATACAACTTTCGGGACCGATTGTACACTTCGGGACGAATTGGGATGACCTCCCACATAGGTGGGGGCCACCCCACGAAATTGTCAACCAAAAGGGGATTGATTGAGCTCAAAAGGTGGCCGAATACTCTTGAGTTGATGGAGGAAACATGTTTGACATGTAAGAGGACCCATCTCACCCATAATTGCCCAAAAGAAACAAAAGAAACCCACCCCCCTCTTTCCTCACTCAATCACTTCGGCCAGCACCAAGGGAAAGGGGAGAAAGAGCTCTGAAAACTCATCCTCCATAGCCAAGAACCGAGCTCAAGAAGGAGTATCCCAAAGGAGGTGTTTTAAGAAGGAAAAAGGCTAGGAGAAAGTGAGAAAAGTTGAGGTAATGGCCTTATCATAGCTTCTCCTTTATTTTTCTTCTACCATATGAGATATATATCATATGAAGAACCTTGAGGGTTGCTCTACATAATTTAAGTGTAGAAAAATGGGTTGGAGTGTGGTTCTAAGTCCAAAAACGGACTTAGAAGCCAAACCGACAAGTTCACCGGAAAATAACCTTTTAGAGGTTATTTGTATTGATTAAGGTTTTATGGTGTTAAAACCTTGTTAGGAACTTGATTAAAGTATTTTTGAGCTTCGCCGGAGTTTCGCCGGAGTTGGTCAAAGTTCACCGGAGTTGGTCAAAGTTCGCCGGAATTAGTCAAAGTTCCACCGGGAAGCGGAGAACGCGCTTAAGCTCACTCGAGGTGAGGATGACCGACTATATTGCTTATAATCTTTGGGTTAATTTCATAAGAATTCCTAAATGAATATATAATGTGATTTTGCATGGATTATTAATGGTTAATAATGCCTAAATGAAATTACTATTGATTATAAGTATAGTTGCATAATATACAAATTTATTGAATAAATTGTGTATGTCTAAATGTTATGAATATGAGGGCATGATAGTAGTATCAACCATAAATCCCATTCGTGATAAGTATACTTTTATTTCATGAGAAGAAGCCATGAAGGAATAAAAGTGATATTTTGATATTGAGGCCAAATTACATATTGAATGAAGAATTACATTGAAATGAATAAATAACTAGTATTGAAATATTAGTTGGAATTGTAGTTGAATAATGGATGAATGGATCCTAAGAAATTGAATTGTAAGGAATCGGTGATTATTGAGCTGGGCTCTAGACCGATGTAGATAACGGTGATTATTGAGCTGGGCTCTAGACCGTAGTAGTTATCGGTGATTATTGAGCTGGGCTCTAGACCGATGTAGATAACGGTGATTATTGAGCTGGGCTCTAGACCGTAGTAGTTATCGGTGATTATTGAGCTGGGCTCTAGACCGATGTAGATGACGGTGATTATTGAGCTGGGCTCTAGACCGTAGTAGGTAACGGTGATTATTGAGCTGGGCTCTAGACCGTGATAAGAAATGATGAATTGACACTAAACGAATAAAGTTAACCACGATATAATAACACCCTAGGTTGAGGGTCTTGGAAATTGAAACGTTGATTATATTTAGTATAGTTGTCATTGTACTTGTCAAATGCTTCCAAGTACTGACCTCCCCTTCACGGGGGAGGCCACCTCACAGTTTCAGGTAGAACTTGAAGGTTGCTACCACCGCCCGTTGCTTCGGGAAGATCAAAGGAGGGAGACGTGGTTCGTGCTTCTTCCGTTCCTGTTTTGAAAACATTTTGAACAATGCTCATGGATACTATTTTTAAATGTTTGTTTGGGGGCTTGTATGCCCATGGTTGCCAAAGTGTGGCATAAACACTTATATTAAATGTTTCCGCTGCTTGAATGAACATTTTACATTATGTTTGTTTATGGATGTACTACGTGTGAATGATATTCCAGACGCCTTGTATAGTGTGGATGTGTTGGACTGCGGTTGACCATTCGTACTGTACGGCGGATTGTTGACGTGTCCGGGTAGGTCCGGGGTGTGACAATTTAATTGGTATCAGAGCCTTAGTCCGTAAACTTCATAATGAAGCTTCAAAATCTCTTTTTGAAAACAAATTTGAAAACCATGAGCATAAAAGTTTTGTACTTAAAGAACTTTGGGTACTTGAGTTGCAAAGTCTCTAATTGTTAAGATGGTACCCTTAACAATTGGTATGACAGTGATTTGAGCCAAAGGATGTCTTTAAGTGCCTATCCGTCATTTGACATTGATACGAGTCTAATGACTCATTCTAATTTCTTTCAGAAATGGAACCAGTTGGAAGGATCACTAGGAGGAACCCGACGGGCCGTGTGCCGGGTGGGTCCGAGCGCGGTAGCAGGGGGTCCTCTAGGGGATCAAGAGGAAGAGGCCGCGGAGGCCGACAACAACAAACCGTGAGCAATGGCCACGTCGATACGGAAAGCGAGACCTATTGGTCTTATGAGGACTCGACCTACCGGCCGGAAACTGAGCCGGTTGAGACCCCTTATGAAGGGGATGACGACGATGTTAGTGACGAGGAGGAAAATGGCTCCTTGGCTAGGATTGAAGCACTGCTCCAACAATATCATCGGGAGCGTGAGGAAAGGAGAGAACGCCGAAGGCGCCGTGCAGGGCCACCTTCGGGCGGGGCTCCAAGAGGGAGGAGTTACTGTGATTCGAGGACCCATGTAGAAGCGCATGGGAGTCGTGGTGATGGAGGTCCAACCATAAGGATCTCCAAATACATCAAAGAGGCGAGAGACTTGGGGTGTAAACCGTTCGATGGGACGGGAGACATCTCAGTTGCCGCGCAGTGGATCAAGAGGCTGAACGAGGCAGCCCTTGACATGCAACTCACCCCCGATTTCAAATTGAGAATCGCGGTGAGGTTACTTGAAGGGTTAGCATCCAAGTGGTGGGATGGAACCAAGGGTAAGTATGGCGGGACGGTTACTTGGGAGGATTTTCGGCAAGAATTCTTTGCCCAATACTACTCCGACTTTGAGGTAAACGCCAAAGTGAGGGAGTACACTCTTTTGACCCAAGGGGGTAACATGACGGTGAAAGAACTTGAGCATAAGTTCAGGGACCTTGCCGACCACATACCGGAGTATGCTTGTGATGAGAACCGAATGGTGAATCACTTTTGGGAGGCCTTGGACTTGGAGATACGTGATAGGGCGACTCAATTGCCCAACATGACTTTCAGCCAAGTGGTTGCCCAGGGGTTGAAGGGAGAAAAGCAATGGGAGGAAAGGAAGAAGAGGGACGCCGAGGAGGCAAAGAAGAGGAAATGGGAGAGCCATGGCCCCCAAGGTTCTAATAAGAAAGGGAACCATGGGGGAGGAGGATCATTCAGGGCACCGGCACCACCATCTAGGGGAGGCTCAGGCACGGGTGGACAAACCTCGGGCTCGCAAGCCCCAATGATGATTAGATGCAGGAATTGTAACAGGAACCATGGGGGTAAGTGTCGTGACCCTCCTCGGTGCTACCAATGTGGAGACACGGGGCATATTAAACCAAATTGCCCTCAACTTGGTGGGAACCGAGGGGTGGGATCAAGCGGCGCTACCACGGCAAGTAGGAACCGAAGCGGAGCACCCCATGCTAGTATGGGGCAAGGGGGAGCGAGCACAAGCAACGCGCCGTCCGTGAACCAAGGAAGGACTCAAGCTAGAGTCTACGCAATGACCGAGGCCGACGCTCGGGCCAACCCCGACTCCGTTGCAGGTAATCCTTTGTAACGATTGATAAATTACATGCATTGAGTGCTAAAAGTGATAGCGGGTTTGTACGGGCTCGCCGGGGCCGATACCGGCCGGTTTCCTTGCAAAAAGTTGCAAAAATAAACTGCCCAGGGGTAAACCGGCGCCGGTCGAGGCTTAAACCGGCGCCGGTTCTAATTAAAAACGCCCATTTTGGGGTTGCCGTGGGTAAACCGGCGCCGGTTTTGGGCCATAACCGGCGCCGGTCAAGGGTCGGGGTGACTTAAGCCTTTTAAAAATCGAATTCCGGGAGACGCCGTAGCAAAACCGGCGCCGGCTTTGGCCATAACCGGCGCCGGTCTAGGGGAAAAGAGGTCGGAAGAATCACCGTGCTCGCAACCGGGGCCGGTTTTGAATTTTCCGATGTTGCCGAAGGTGAACCGGCTCCGGTTTTGGCCATAACCGGCGCCGGTCCATTTTAATTTGTGAGTATCCGGCCACCCCGAAGGCAAACCGGCGCCGGTCTTGCCTAGAACCGGCGCCGGTCCAGGGTATTTTCACCCGAAATGTTTTGTTAAGCCCCGTTTCGATCCGGTACGTTGGGTGGTGTGTCTTACATGACTTATATATGTAGGAACATTAAAGATCAATGGTAGAAACGCAAGAATTCTCATTGATACCGGGGCACAACGTTCATTCGTGAGTGAAGCGTTTGCCGAAAGTTTAGACGTGCCGTTGATAGTAATGACACAACCCTTGTTGGTCTCTACACCGTTGGGAGACGATGTGGAGAGGAAACACTACTATCCTTCGTGTGAGGTAGAAGTGACGGGTCAACCTTTGACTTGTGACTTCGTACCTCTAAGTATGTTAGAATTCGATGCAATTCTAGGGATGGATTGGCTCGAGAAACATCATGCTCGAGTGGATTGTTATGCCAAGGTTTTGGAACTCGAGGATGCTGAGGGAAACACTCTACGTTTCGAGGGAGATCGGGGAGGATCTCATAGTTGCATAATATCCGTGATGAGGGCACGGAAGATGATGAAGAAGGGATGCCAGGCATACCTTGCTTACGTGGTGGATGAAGCAAAGAAGGAGGTTGACATCAACGATGTACGTGTCGTGTGCAAATATCCGGATGTCTTTCCCAAAGACTTGCCGGGGCTTCCACCCGACAGGGAGATCGAATTCGTGATTGAAGTGGAGCCGGGGACCAAACCCATTTCGATTCCTCCTTATCGAATGGCACCGGCCGAGCTCCAAGAGTTGAAGGTTCAACTCCAAGAGCTATTGGACAACGGGTTCATTAGACCCAGTCATTCACCGTGGGGAGCACCCGTACTCTTCGTAAAGAAGAAAGATGGTACACTAAGAATGTGTATAGACTACCGACAGTTGAACAAGGTCACGATCAAGAACAGGTACCCTTTACCGAGGATTGATGACTTGTTTGATCAACTTCGAGGGGCAACAGTATTCTCGAAGGTTGATCTAAGGTCGGGGTATCATCAGTTGAAGATAAAGGAGAGTGACATACCTAAGAGTGCATTTCGCACGAGATATGGTCACTACGAGTTTTTGGTGATGTCATTTGGTCTAACCAACGCACCGGCGGCATTCATGGACATGATGAACCGTGTGTTCAGTGAATATTTAGATCAATTTGTGATAGTATTCATTGACGACATTTTGATATACTCCAAGAGCGAAGAGGAGCATGAAGATCATTTGAGTCTTGTACTTGAACGACTAAGGGAAAAACAACTCTTTGCCAAGTTCTCTAAATGCGAGTTTTGGCTCAAAGAGATTGGGTTTCTCGGGCATGTCGTGTCAAGTTCGGGCATTTCGGTGGATAAGGCCAAGATAGAAGCCATTATGAATTGGGAGAGACCCAAAAATGTGAAAGAGATACGTAGTTTCCTTGGCCTAGCGGGATACTATCGTAAGTTTGTTGAGAAATTTTCCGTATTGGCGTCTCCATTGACAAAGCTCACGAAGAAAGGGGCCAAGTTCATATGGGACGACAATTGTGAGAAAGGCTTTCTTGAACTAAAGAAACGGCTTACTGAAGCACCGGTTCTCGCTCTACCCACACAAGGGATAGGGTATGACATATACAGTGATGCTAGCACCCAAGGGCTTGGATGTGTACTCATGCAGAACGGTCGGGTGATTGCCTATGCTTCTAGGCAATTGAAGAGACACGAGGCGAACTACCCTACCCATGATCTGGAGTTGGGGGCGGTAGTGTTTGCACTAAAGATTTGGAGACATTATCTCTATGGAGAGACATGTCACATTTTCACCGACCATAAGAGCCTCAAGTATGTATTCACTCAGAAGGAGTTGAATATGAGGCAAAGGAGATGGATGGAGTTGATCAAGGACTATGACTTGATCATCGACTATCATCCCGGAAAGGCCAATGTAGTGGCCGATGCACTGAGCAGGAAGGGTACGTCGGGGACATTACTCACATGTCTACGAACTTTGAGGGCACAAGTGGAGGTATCCACGAGTGGGGTCCTCATTGCTAGATTCGAGGTTAGACCTACATTGCTGGGTGAGATCAGTAGATGTCAGGCCATTGATGAAGAATGTCAGAAGATCCGGGAGAGGATCCTTGAAGGGCCCGTGGAGAACTTTCGAGTACGTGATGACGGTCTTTTACTGTTTAAGGACCGGGTATGCATACCAAAGAGTGAGGAGCTCCAAAAGTCTATACTAGAGGAGGCTCATTCTTCGGCATATGCTATGCATCCAGGAGGTACTAAAATGTACCGAGACTTGAAGGAAAGTTACTGGTGGTCGGGTATGAAGAGGGATATCGCAGAGTACGTGAGCCGATGCCTTACTTGCCAGCAAGTTAAGGCGGAGCACCAGCACCCGGCAGGGCTTTTGCAGCCACTGACCATTCCGGAATGGAAGTGGGAACACGTGACCATGGACTTCGTGGTGGGGCTACCACGAACAGTGAACAACTACGACGCAGTATGGGTAGTGGTTGATAGGCTCACCAAGAGTGCACACTTTTTGCCTATCAACATTACTTATCCTCTTGAAAGATTGGCAAAGCTATACACGGAGGAGATTGTGAGACTACATGGAGTCCCGATATCCATTGTCTCGGATAGGGATCCACGATTCACATCTCGGTTTTGGCCCAAGTTTCAAGCATCTTTGGGTACTAAATTGAAGTTTAGCACAGCTTTTCATCCGCAGACGGATGGACAATCTGAGAGAGTGATACAGATCCTGGAAGATATGCTTAGGGCATGTGCTTTGGAGTTCCAAGGAAGTTGGGACAAGCATTTGGCTCTAGTTGAGTTTGCCTATAACAACAGTTATCAGGCGAGTATTGGCATGCCTCCATACGAGGAGGCATTGTATGGGAGGAAATGCAGAACACCGTTGTGTTGGGACGAGGTTGGCGAGGCCAAGCTCGAGGGGATTGAACTTGTTGAAATCACCAAGGCTAAGGTGAAAGTCATTCAAGATAGACTTAAGGCTGCTCAAGATCGGCAGAAGAGTTATGCCGACAAACGACGCAGGCCATTGGAGTTCGAGGTCGGTGATAAGGTCTTCCTAAGGATTTCTCCTTGGAAGGGTATCATCCGATTTATATCGAGGGGAAAACTCAACCCCCGATACATTGGTCCGTTCGAAATCCTTGAAAGGATTGGGGCCGTGGCATACCGTCTCAAGTTGACGCCAGAACTTGAGAAGATACACGACGTGTTTCATGTATCGATGCTCAAGAAATACGTGAGGGATCCATGTCATATTCTTGAGAAGCCACCGGTGGAGATACGTGAAGACCTACAATATGCGGTGGAACCGGTAAAGATTGTGGGTCAACAGGTGAAGAAACTGAGGAACAAGGAGATTCCTATGGTGAAGGTTCATTGGAGGAGTGATCGAGTCGAAGAAGAAACCTGGGAGACTGAGGTCTCAATGAGGGAGCAATACCCGTTTCTTTTCGATTAGACACGTGGATTTCGGGGACGAAATCCCAATTAAGGGGGGGTGAACTTGTAACACCGTCCCCAAAAAGTATTTACTTTTAAGTAAATAATGTATTGAACTTATGGAATGGTTAACGAGTATTCGAAGTTGTGAATTTTTATTAATGTTTTTGCGTGAATAGCAAATTCGCCCGTGGGGCCCGCACCGGGAACGGGGGCCGCCCGATATTCCCGAGACCGTATATTTTATTCATCTTGGTCAATATAACATT